GAGATTGCACGTCAAAGGGCTGCCAGTTGGCGCAAATTCCGCAACTTCACCGATGTCCTGAAAGTGTCAAACCGGAAGGATCGTTTTCACCTCTTCAGTATCACTGTGTTGAGGGCAGTAACATAAGGATTCGAGACGTGACCACTCACGAAAGCTGAGGATCTTGTGACAGAGAGTGTGATGGGAGCGAAGATTGCTTGGCGTATCCCTCCGCGACCATACAACGAATCAGACGCTCCATCAGATGGGTGGCGTGCAGGATATCATTCCAAGAAAGTAAAGTTCGGCGGGCAGGGCATGTTATTTACCTTGCCGATAATCGGTGGACAATGTGCATTAGTGAGCGGTACGCACGTAAATACTTGAGTGGCCATCGAAAAGGTGGTGCACATACGTTGGACAGGCAGTGGGCACTAACTGGAGGTATTCAGCTTAGGATTCAAGGGTCTCGCATAGCTGCACTCGGTTTGTGAAAGCATTCTGATAATATCACCACACTGATAGCTCGAGTATTCTCGGCATATATTATAAAATCTTTGTTATTCTGACTGCGATTCTCTGCGGCTTGAAAGCGGTCGGGCATACTGCAGTAATACAGGACATAACCTGTTTCTCAAATGGGTTGCAGCCTCCAGGTCAGTCCTGGAGGGGCAGGTGATGGGGTGCGCAAGCAAGAAAGGGTAGTGAAGGTTGGGGGTAAGAGTGAGCTAAGACGTTTCGGTCCATTGAGTCATATACGCCTCCAAATTGCATGCGCGTTCTAATAGTTATTCCTGTATGTTCACAGCTTGGCCAGGCAATTGCAAAAGCGAAGTTCAAATGCCTCAAGGCAGCTCGTATTTTTAGGATAGTTTTTTCGCGGTCGCCAGATGGCGTGATTGCAGGGACGAGAGGCTGATGCAGGCGCGTGCCTCGATGAGCGATATGCAGCGCCGAGCCAGTCAGTTGTATAACGCGCTGCTCGAGAAACGGTGCAAATTGGCCGAGAAGCTCAACGATGGCGTGCATAACGTGGCATTGCTACAAAATCAACTGATAAGCGATCGGCTGTATGCTTGGAAGAATCGACAGAAGCTGCAGCAAGTTGGCGTGCCTTTCGATGAGCGTGACCGATTGATCGATGAAATCCAGACCGAGTGAGCATAACTCCAATTGTGTACCGCAGACTTAACTATCATAATTTAAGCGCTAAAATTTAACCTCATTTTTTAACGCAGTTAGCCAGTTCTCAACTGATTTCAAAACTCTCCATGCTCTTTTGGTTTTAGTAAATTCCCCCCTCCCCTCTCTGGCTGCATCAACCTAGGAAAATTACATCTGTTTACTCGTCACACTTGTTTTGATACTCGTCATCCCAGCCTAATTTTTTGTTTTTCCCCTGCAGTAGCTAAATTTTGCACTTCCCTAGTTTGTGCTTTTTTTTTGGATTTATTATGCAAATGAAAATAATTGGCCAGCGCACCGAGTACCAGGTACGATGATGCGTTTTCTGCACAGTTCCCCAGCAGTACTGTTTTTTCGGCAGATGCTTCTAACTGAAAAAATCGAGACTGTCCACCACGACTCTCAGAAATTATTACATTGACTTCCAGTCTATGCTCAAAAAAAAATTTAGCACTTCAAATGCTTCGGTTGCAGAGTTACTTGAGATTTCACGTATTTGTGCGTGTGGAGCACGTGAATGCTGCTTATGTGTGCTTGCCTAAACTCGATTCCAGGCCACGCTCAGGAAGTTTCAGCACTCTAGCTGCTTTGGTTGTGGAGTTACTTCAAATTTCATGTGTTGGCACGTGTGGGGAAAAGCGAGCTAAATACCCCTTCTCAGCGCAGAGGAACAGGTGTGTCGCAACGCCTTTTCTGGGGTACACATGAGGTACAGATTTTGTAATTGCCAAAACTTAGCAGAGGCTCTCATCTGTGCCTCAGACCGGTACCACACCGTCCCTCTCTTCCACCCACATCCTTAAAACTACGTTGTTCAGCACTTGGAGGAAAGTTATCCAGCGCACGGGGAGCATTACCTAATGCTCAGAGGAATATCACGCATTAGGTGCTATAGCGTCTCATTAATGCACAAAATGACAGAATATACGGAGCCTAGCTGAGTTTTAGTAGCTGCCATGAAGCAAGCTTGCACTTTTATTTGTTGGAAATTTTACAATTCACTTAACTGAATCCGTTGCCTTGGTATCTCGTACTTGGGATGTTGTAGTATACCTGAATGTAACGTTTTCAAGGTTCGAGATGTTGGCGGAGCAGAATTGGCAGTTAAGAACGTATGCCTGCTGGCAGATGGATTTGCTTCGCCGAGGTTGCATCCTTTTTTCTTTAAAGATTTCAATTGGGGATCACTTTTCGGGTTGTCACGCTTACGTTTATGCACTTTACTTAGAAATAAGTTAGAAATAAGCACCCTTTTCACAGCTAGAAATAAATACCCCTTTCATTTGGGGTCATCATCCATCTAAAGCTAAAAAAAATACGCTAAATGATGTGAAATGAGCTTATGTCTC